GTTGCATTAAAAAGAGGAATCATCAATAATGCTGCCTTGCAATACATCTACCCAATTTTTTATATGTTCGGACAACGCACAAGGTATTTTTGGAAAATGTTTTATATAAATTACATATTTTAATATTTACCTTTAAATATTTTGATTTCAGACATTGGTACAGAGCCTCGCAATATTCCAACACAATCCTTGCAATCGTACATACAGGGATTCGAAACAAATACATAAGCGAATGAAAGGAATCGCCTACAAAATAAATATACTCATAATTTACATTTAATTTGAAATACTTATGAAAATAAAATGAATTAAAAATATTTTTCTTGTTTTTTATGAATAAAATGATTTAAAAAATATTTTTCTTGTTTTTTTTCTTACCTGTTGCCAAAAATCGAAGAGTAACTAAAAGCCGGTCTTTGGGAGGTATAGCCAATCTCATTTTAGTATCTTGTTTTTGAATACTTGTTTGAATTAAAGATAAAATGTATTCAAAATCATCATCAGACATTCTGAGGAAATTTTCCAGCTGCATGGAGTCTTCGGTCCCAGTTTCTTTTTAATTAAATATGCTGCGATGGCAGCTGAAAATCTTATTTTGCCACAAGACATTTTTATACTGTCATTCGTAAAAAAAAGCAAACTACTGCAAGCTGTACTCACATTGTGTGGAAACACGTCTGCAATTTCTTGCAGCAAGTTCGTCGTGATAACTTCTACAAACTACTTCTGGAAGCAGACTTCCGCAAGTTTCGGTTTGAGTGGAAACACTTCAGCAAATACTTGCAGAAGTTCTTCCGCAAGTTACTTGCTAGTGGACACACGGCTTAAAGACGTAACCTTTTTCCAAGCAAAACTTTTCCTTTGCAAAACTACCCAATGCATGCATTTTATGTGGGAGAGTACAAGTGCATACTAGATTCCCGGTATACAAAACATGATTTTAATGTATTCAATGTACAAAGGCTAAATTGCTTAAGTTGAAAATACTCAAAAACCTGTATTTAAACAAGTCCCAGATAGTATAGTGGTCAGTATCCCCGCCTGTCACGCGGGAGACCGGGGTTCGATTCCCCGTCTGGGAGTATTTTTTTCCAATATTTTATACATTTTTTTTTTATCAATAGTTAGATAAAGAAAATCATAAAATTAATTACAAATATTATTAGTTAGATACAAAATCAGACTAAATTGAGTGTAATTCAAGTTAATTTTAATTAAATTAATTATATAAAACGTCAAAATGACACATAACCTACAAAATATAAACATTTTCCACATTAACATTTTTACATAAACATAATTTACACTCTTTATTTCAGCTATTTATTATTAAAGAAAATGGTATGTTATATGCAATATCGATGGAGTAAGCGATAAAAGAATTAGAGCCATTTCGTAAAATTAAAATTTTTCATTATTTTTTAGCATTAAATCCTGTAATTCCTAACGATGGTAAGATTCTTCTTAAATAAATCGTTGTTAAACGTAATCAAATAATACCTTTTCGTTATTAAAGATGACATATCAATATGTGAGGATAATTATTCAGTTAAATCAAGAACAACGATTAAATCAGCTAAATCTGGGGTTTCTTCTAGTCCTCCTAGTAAAACGAAAATTATCGAAGAAAATAGGACTTTGATGGTAAATTCAGATTGTCCGATTCAAATTTTGATCGATTATCTCGCAACTGAAATGGGGTTTGATAAAACTCGTAATACTTAAATTAGTTAAAATAAAATTGTACTAAATTTAATTATTTTGTTTGAGGTGGTTTCGATTTTTGTAACTCGGACGGCGATCTTATAGGAATTAATGATTTACAAAAATGGGAAAACGCAAAATATATCATGCCTCCAGATAAAACGTACATAATCGTTTTTACTGCACGTAAACAATCTTTTTTTTAATAAATTTTTTTGTATTTTAAAATTTTCTTTTTGTAGGCAACTCATTTCACGATTATATTGATTTTGATATCTTTTTAAAAAAGGATACCGACATTTATAACGATTATTACAAAAAGTTGCGGAAATATATTTTGTATAGTAAGCTTCAATCTAAAAGTAGAAGTGCTCCACAGAAATTTCTCAACTTTTCTGCAACTCAAACCACATCAAGAGCTTTTAGTGCAAGAAATTTAAAATAAATTCCAGTTTTACAATATTTATACAAATATTTTCTTCATTTATAAATAAAAAGATGATTGTGATAAAAATTTTAAATAAATTGTGATATGAATAAAGTTGACCTTTGATCTTCTTATCAATAAAAAACAACTCTTGATAAATAATTTTTGCTTAATAATCCAGTAAAAAGTTTCAAATCAGTTTAACTTTAAATTTTTTATAAGCACATAACCTCAGTTTTCTAAAAAAATCCTCAAACATAACCTAAAATTGTAAAAAAAATATTTAATTCAAAGATAATGTGTAAGTTTTCATTTCAAATCATAAAATAATTGTTTTATTATTTTATTCCATATAAATACTTTTATTATTAACAAATAAAAATAGTAATATAATAAACAAAATTTAACAATAAGAGTAATCGAAACATAACCTCAAACTTAACCTCAAAATTAATATGTAAGATTAAATAAAAATTAATTTAAACATGTTATTACAAAGACTATTAAGAATAAACAAAACAAATTTAAGAAGATTTTGTGACCAAAAAAGTATAAATTAATTGAATTAATTCAATTTCTTTATCATAATTCATTTTTTTTTAGCAACCGAAACCGTTTTAGTAAAAAAAGAAGGCCCCATAACAACAATAGGAATAAATCGGCCAGAAAAACGCAATTGCGTCAATCTCGCCACTGCGGCTCTCCTGAAAAAAGCAATTGAATCCTTCGAAAATGATCCCACATCTTACGTTGGTGTTCTTTATGGAGTTGGAGGAAATTTTTGCGCCGGTTACGATCTCCAAGAATTATCCACAATGGGAGAAAGCGAAGTAACGGTTTTACCTGTGGATGGGACTGTTGGACCAACTTTACGATTTATCAAAAAACCTTTAATAGCTGCTGTTAGTGGATATGCCGTAGCTGGGGGTTTGGAGTTAGCTATGTTATGTGATATGAGAGTTGTTGAGGAATCGGCGATTATGGGGGTGTTTTGTAGGAGGTTTGGAGTGCCTTTAATTGATGGAGGAACCGTTCGATTACAAGCTGCTATTGGGTTATCAAGAGCTTTGGATATGATTTTGACAGGGAGAGGAATTGGGGCGAAAGAAGCTTTAGAATGGGGGTTAGCTAATCGAATTGTTGCTACAGGAACTGGTGGGATTATAAAAATTTTAATTGATTCATTTAATACTTTAATTTTAAACATATTTTTAGCTTATGGTCAAGCGTTAAGTTTAGCAAACTCTTTAGTTAAATTTCCTCAATTTTGCATGAACACTGATAGAAAGTCCGCGTATAACGCAGCCTATGTAACAAAATATCAAGAATTGTTGGATTATGAGAGAGACCATGGTTTTAATGTTGTTGCTAAAGAATCAGTTGAAGGAGCCCAACGATTTATGTCAGGAATTGGTAGGCATGGAACGACGCATAATTTAACTGAAAAGAAATTACCTGATTGGGAAGTTGAGGAAAATAAAATTGCACAAAATCTCGATAAAAAAAGCAAATTATAAAAAAATCCTTTATTTTTAATAAACACAAAAAGAAATACAGATTTATTCAACTTCAGAAACGACGTGTTTTTTACGCTCCGGAACATGAGGAACCATTCCTTTCCTCGAATGAGCCCTACGATTCCCTTCTTTCCTTTTAACTTTATCTTTAATCGTTCTCATTTCTTGTTGGGCGTTATAAATGTGTTTCGGAACGTGTCGATGGCGTTTTATCCTTTTTATTTGAGGATGACTCGCGAATTTCTCCTTTAATGTTTCGCTATAATTCAAAGCCCTTTTTTCTCTTGGTTTTAACTAAAAAATTTAATAAGATGTAAAAATGTGGTAATAGAGGGAATTAAAGAAGAGAGATTTGAAAGTTTCTAAAAGAGAACAACAATAGGCCGATATTAGTAAAACGGTAAAGTGTTGAAAGGAACGAACATATGGATAGATGAGGACTACTCTAAGAAAATTCAGGGAGAGATATATGATTTAATGACTGAATTAAGGGAAGTCGGGAGGAAAGGAGTTAAAGCTCATTTACAATACAACAAAATTATTGTAAAGGATGAAATAAATGACGAGAGGAAGATAGTGGATGGCTGGCAGGAATAATAAATGTACAGTTTCGGAAAGATCACCGAATGATATGAAGGCGCCCTATAAATTCAACAAACTATGTGTAGAAAGAAGAGGAGACTTTACTGACGATGAAAATGACAGGAATATAGATAAACGCAAGGAGAAAATAGGAAACTTATAAAGATGGGGACGTGGAATAATTATAACAGAGGAAATACATAAAAGAGTAAATAAGTATGCACCAGTAAATTCAAGAATTCTGGAATTGGGAATTGAAAAGGGTGAATATAATTCAAATCTACGCATCAACTCAACTCTGCAGAAAACTTTGAATAAATCCAGAGAACAAGGAGAGGAACTAATTATAATGGAAGACTGGAATGTGGGAATAGGTAATGATATACACAAGGCGGGGAAGTAGTATAGGAGATTATGGGATCAGGGAGAGCCAATGATGAATAGAAATGGGAAAAGAATGCTGGAATTTTGTCAAATAAACTACTTATTGATTGGAAACACTATGTGGAGTCAGAGGAGGCAAGATAAATATACGTTTGTGGCGGAAGAAAGGATGCTAAGAGTATAATAATACTCTTAGATGTAATTCTTTGATGTAATCAATAGATTACATCACATACACCTGGAATCTGTAAAACGCAGTCGAGGAGGTAAAGACTGAAGCAGAAATGGGTACCAACCACAGACTAGTCATGGCAACCATTAATAATATAGGAATCGAAAGAGAAGAGATGAAAACCTACACGAAAATAAACATCCATAAACTAAGGCAGGAGGAAGAAATCTTAGTTAGAGTGGATTCGATGATCGTCGTGAGTAGTTAAATAAGAAGTGTACAAAGCCGTACATGTTTCGATCCGTCATAGGATCTTTTTCAGGCACGACATCGATGTGATGAGCAAAAACACATTAACACATGAGTATGTATGAGATAATGTGAAACACGTTTGATGTGAAGTTATGGAGGAGAAGCCGATCAGATTACGTTGTTAACGTTCATGACATTCCGTCAGAGCAACGATTTCAGGTTTTAAAAAAGGAAAGATGGAAAATCCAGGAAATTGAGGCGGAAAAAATTACTCATGTGTTAATGTGTTTTTGCTCATCACATCGACGTCGTGCCTGAACAAGATCCTATGACGGATCGAAATATGTAGCACCGAAGCAAATAATAAATAATTTTTCATCGTTTTTGTACACTTCTTTTTGTACACAATTTAAGGAGGAAGAAAGACTAAAATAGCAAGAAAAAACAAACAACGAATTTCAAAAATTAGAACACAAACAGATAATTTAACATTGGAGGAAAGGTGGAGAATCTTTAAAGATATAATGCGAAATAAAGCTATGGAGGTGTGTGGAATGAGAAAATATAATAATCAGACAAAGAGAACACACTGGTGGAATAAAGTGGTTCGACGAGCAATCAAAAAGAAGAAAGAGTCATGAAAGAAATACATAAAAACGAATTCGGAAGAGGGTAGAGCAAACTATAGAACGAACAGAGATTTAGCTAAGAATATGGTAAGGGAGGCGAAAAAGAAAAGTTAGGAAGAGTTCGGAACAAGCTTAAGTGAAACATACGTTCNTAAGATGTAAAAATGTGGTAATAGAGGGAATTAAAGAAGAGAGATTTGAAAGTTTCTAAAAGAGAGGGAATGAGGTGATTAACTTGATGAGGAATATTGGAGTAAATTAATGTAAAGAGAACAGCAATAGGCCAATATTAGTAAAACGGTAAAGTGTTGAAAGGAACGAACATATGGATAGATAAGGACTACTCTAAGCAAATTCGGGGAGAGATATATGATTTAACGACTGAATTAAGGGAAGTCGGGAGGAAAGGAGTTAAAGCTCATTTACAATACAAGAAAGTAATTGTAAAGGATGAAACAAATGACGAGGAGAAGCTAGTGGATGGCTGACAGGAATAATAAACGTACAGTTTCGGAAAGATTACGAACGATATGGAGGCGCCCTATAAATTCAACAAACTAAGTGTAGAAGGAAGAGCAAGGAAAAACAAGGAGAAAATAGGAAAGTAAGAATTCTGGAATTGGGAATTGACCTAAAGGGAAAGGTGCATATAATTTAAATCTACGCATCAACGGCCTATCTACTCAAGTCTGCAGAAAACTTTGAATAAATCCAGAGAACAAGGAGAGGAAGTAATTATAATGGGAGACTGGAATGAGAGAATAGGTCATGATATACACAAGGGGGGAGGTAATATAGGATAATATGGGGTTCAGGGAGAGGCTATGCTGAGTAGAAATGGGCGAAGAATGCTGGAATTTTGTCAAATAAACGACTTATTGATTGAAAACACTGTGTGGAGTCAGAGGAGGCAAGATACATATACGTTTGTGGTGGAAGAAAGGATGCTAAGAGTGTAATAATACTCTTAGATGTAACTCTTTGATGTAATCAATAGATTACATCACATACACCTGGAATCTGCAAAACGCAGTCGAGGAGGTAAAGACTGAAGGAGAAGCAGAAATGGGTACCAACCACAAACTAGTCATGACAACCATTAATAATATAGGAATCGAAAGAGAAAAGATGAAAACCTACACGAAAATAAACATCCATAAACTAAGGCAGGAGGAAGAAATCTTAGTTAGAGTGGATTCGATGTTCATCGTGAGTAGTTAAATAAGAAGTGTACAAAAACGATGAAAAATTATTTATTATTTGCTTCGGTGCTACATGTTTCGATCCGTCATAGGATCTTCTTCAGGCACGATGGCGATGTGATCAGCAAAAACACAAGTGAGTAAGCCAACCAGATTACGTTGTTAACATTCGTGACATTCCTGCAGAGTAACGATTTCAGGTTTTAAAAAAGGACAGATGGAAAATCCAGGAAATTGAGGCGGAAAAACTTTATAAAATTATACGTGTTAGAAGATGGGAATTGAAGAGATTCAAATTAAAAATTTTACATCGTTAAAAAATGTCATCAGAAAATAATTAAACTAGAAGCGCGATGTTTGAGTCCAACTCAACCACGTGTACACACCTGTTGCGACTCAGATATAATTTTAATTTCTTTAAATAAGTTTTAACGTGATTGTTTAACATGGCTCAAACATCGCGCTTCTAGTTTAATTATTTTCTGATGACATTTTTTAACGATGAAAAATTTTTAATTTGAACCGTCTTCCAACACGTATAATTTTATAAAGTTTTTCCACCTCAATTTCCTTGGTTATCTATCTTTCCTTTTTTTAAAACCTGAAATCGTTGCTCTGAAGGAATGTCATGAACGTTAACAACGTGGAAGAAAACAAAGGAGGAAGAAAGACTAAAATACCAAGAAAAAACAAACAACGAATTTCAAAAACTAGAACATACAGAAAATTTAACACTGGAGCAAAGGTGGAGAATTTTTAAAGAGATAATGCGAAATAAAGCTATGGAAGTGTGTGGAATGAGAAAATATAATAATCAGACAAAAACAACACAGTGGTGGAATAAAGAGGTCCGACGGGCAATCAAGAAGAAGAAAGAGTCATGAAAGAAATACATAAAAACGAATTCGGAAGAGGGTAGAGCAAACTATAGAACGAACAGAGATTTAGCTAAGAATATGGTAAGGGAGGCGAAAAAGAAAAGTTAGGAAGAGTTCGGAACAAGCTTAAGTGAAACATACGTTCTGGAATCAAATAAGAATATTGAAGGGAGATCTAAGGAAACAAATAAAAGCCGTCAAAGATAAAAACAACGAGATAAAGACAACTACCAAGGAAATTCTGGACAAATGGGCGAATTTTTATGCAGAAAAGTTGATGGAAAACGAACACAAACAATGGAGGAGGGAAGAGAAGATAGGACAAGGGAAGACACTACAGACATAGCAACTTTAAAGATAACAATGGAAGAATTAGGAGAGGCAATGATGAAGTTGAAAACAGACAAGGTTTGCAGAAAAGACAAGATAGATCCGGAAATGATAAAATATTTGGGAATAAAAGGGAAGAAGTGGCTTCTAAGTATACAAGCTGTTTCTAAATTGAATGAAAATTAAGGGATGTCTTTCATATAACTTTTTGTTCAAAACCCCTTCTGCTCCAAGTCTGTAACTTTCTTATCTCTTGACATTTTACAACTTGTTAGTTTGATCACAAAAAATAAAATAATGCTAAGATCAATATGACATAACTTCATTTCTTTGAGTAATAATAACCAATCTCTGAATTAATTCACTTGAACCTGTGTATTATTTTATGTTTTTGTGATTAAACTAACAATTTTAGGAGAAAATGTCAAGAAAGAAAAGAGTTGCATATTGAATTCCTCTATTTAAATCAAGTTAAAATAGATAAATAAAAAAATAAGTTTAAATAGCGCTCAAAAAAAAGTGTCATTTTATTAACAACAGTTACCTGCCAAATTTCATTCTTCTAAATTCCTTCATAGTGGATTTATTAAATAAAAACAATTTTTTCCCCTAACTTTAGAGTGCTGTAACTCGGTGGGGAAGAGGTTTTGAACAAAAAGTTATATGAAAGACCCCCTTAATTTTTGCTGAAAAGTCACTCGTTTAAATCTTTTTCATCAATTTAGATACACCTGTATATAAAACCGTATGGGAAACAGAAACAATCCCGAAAGATTGAGAAGATAATATCATCTTACCAAGGCATAAAAAAGGAAGCCACTCGAACTGTGAAAATTACAGTCATATGCCTATCATCTACAAGTTACAAATTATACACAAAGATAACAGAAAAAATGTTAAGAAGAGTAGTAGAAAATAAACTAGAATATGAACAAGCAGCATACAGAAGATAACATACATGTAATCTGAAATATCATTGAAAGGAAAATAGAGACTATACCTAATATTCTTGGACCTAAAAGCAACTAATGGTACCACAAAAACTAATGGAGGCCATACACTATAGGGTTTGCATGATAGTTTTAGCCTTACATGCATAACCGACAGGCAAACCCTAGCGTGTATGTGATAAAATTGTACAGTTATCGGCGCATGTACATGCAACCAAGCAAATATCAAAATTGATATTTTCTGCGGCTCAGTTACGTTTGCACGCATGCATAACCAGGCGTGTGTGGCGTCCGGCGAGCTTGCATCGCTTGCATGCACAGTTCTCAGACTTCTCAGTTTATTGTCTGCGACGGTGAAAGGTCGTGCGCGCGCACCTTCCCACTCGTATGAGACTTTAAGACACTCGTATATTCTTCCTGTAGCAAGAAATCTTAATGTTGCTGCTAGTTTCTCATGTGCTGATATTGCATTTCTCATAACAGTATCTTGTCTTTGTATTAACGGAGTGATCAATGATAACAGTTACAAATAAAGATTTTCATCCATTCGTAAATAATTTTTGTAATCTGTTGGTGTAAATGTCAATTCATTTAACAAATTTACGTGAGAGAACTGCTTTCTTTTCAATAACCAGTGTTTACACCATTCCGAGCGAGCTCTTGTTCTTTTTCTATTCTGTAGAACAACTGTTATATTAGCTACCAGATCGTCGTCGTCCATTGTTAGTTTGGTATACCGTGCACAGTAGCGTAGATAACTGTCCTACATATACCGTCAAGTAGCTCCAACTGTCTTTAACTGAGAGTTTATGGCAAAACTGTACAAGCAAACCCTAACGTGTATGTGTATAACGTGTACAATATGAAACTCAGTTCTCCACCAATATTCCACACTGAGTTTTAAAAAATGCTTCTCATACCAGATAATGAGCTCCCTTCTGGTTGCGCATTGACAGAGTGTGGGTCTGCCGCAACCGCTAGGAGGCGCTATGCTGTTTTTCTGTTTGGGCAGCAGTGTTCGCAATACCTGTAAATCTCTTAATAGTCACAGATCGTCTTGCTTTTGCGGTTGAATGTTTTTGTAATCTTTTTGTTCTACCTAAATTTGTTCTTAATTTCTAGGAAACCCTTTCAAGTACTGACATGGTATCGATAACGACTTGTTGTGGCCTTTGGTAGTATTCACCTAAGTATTATATGTTAAAACTCTTGTTTTGTTTATAGCTTTATACCGTTGTCGCGATTCTTTTTTTATATTTAACACGCTATACTGTTTTTTTTCTCTTTATATACTTCATGGTGAGGTGGAAGAACAATATATATTGAACCTCACCATAAGATTGATCAGTTGTTTATTGGAAACCATTTTTAGTTGTTTATTCTGAAGTGTAGTACATTGTGATCAATAAATATTATTATTATTATACCTGTCGGTTATATATGCAAGGGTAAAACCATCATGCAAACCCTAAGGTATGGCCTCCATAACAAAAATAATTGAAAACCTATACAAGAAAGTCAAGGGCATAGTGCAAATGAAGGGAGAAACATTAGAAGCTTTTGAAAAGAGCAAGGGAATAATAAAACAAGGCGATAGCCTAAGCCCTTTGTTATTTATAATATTAATGGACAGAGTGATAAAAAGTACAAGAACAAATAAATATCAAACAGTAGTAGGTTATAAAAGTTTGGAATCAGTAAAAATAGATAATTTACTATATGCTGACGACATAGTGTTGATAGCAGAGAACCATAAAAAGGCAATTAAGTTGGTTGAAATATGGATAGAAGAAATTGAAAAGATGGGCCTAGAATTGAACNAGATAATATCATCTTACCAAGGCATAAAAAAGGAAGCCACTCGAACTGTGAAAATTACAGTCATATGCCTATCATCTACAAGTTACAAATTATACACAAAGATAACAGAAAAAATGTTAAGAAGAGTAGTGGAAAATAAACTAGAATATCAACAAGCAGCATACAGCAGATAACATACATGTAATCTGAAATATCATTGAAAGGAAAATAGAGACTATATGTAATATTCTTGGACCTAAAAGCAACTAATTGGTACCATTAACAAAAACTAATGGAGGCCATACACCATAGGGTTTGCATGATGGTTTTAGCCTTACATGCATAACCGACAGGCAAACCCTAGTGTGTATGTGATAAAATTGTACAGTTATCGGCGCATATACAGTCGTGATCTTAGGAAATGCACACTCAAGGTCAAGCGCTGTTGTGAGATCCGACATGCCGCTGGCTAAACGGGAGTGTGCATTTCCCTAGATCACGACTGTACATGCAACCAAGCAAATATCAAAATTGATATTTTCTGCGGCTCGGTTACGCTTGCACGCATGCATAACCAGGCATGTGTGGCGTCTGGCGAGCTTGCATGCACAGTTCTCAGACTTCTCAGTTTGTTCTCAGTTTATTGTCTGCGACGGTGGAAGGTCGTGCGCGCGCACCATCGCACTCGTATGACACTTTAACCCTTCGGCGTGGAATGCCGTACACGTGTATGTCATGCATAAAATTATTTCTACTGCGGAGTGCCGTACACGTGTACGTCATAAGATCGCATTCCCGCAACTCAAATAGTAATTGAACTCGTATATTCTTCCTGTAGCAAGAAATGTTAATGTTGCTGCTAGTCTCTCATGTACTGATATTGCATTTCTTATAACAGTATCTTGTCTTTGTATTAACGGAGTGATCAATGATAACAGTTTCAAATAAAGATTTTCATCCATTCGTAAATAATTTTTGTAATCTGTTGGTGTAAATCTCAATTCATTTAACAAATTTTCGTGAGAGAACGTAAAGAGCCGAGCGAGCTCTTGTTCTTTTTCTATTCTGTAGAACAACTGTTATATTAGCTACCAGATCGTTGTCGTCCATTGTTAGTTTGGTATACTGTGCACAGTAGCGTAGATAACTGTTCTACATATACCGTCAAGTAGCTCCAACTGTCTTTAACTGACAGTTTATGGCAAAACTGTGTAAACAAACCCTAACGTGTATGTGTATAACGTGTACAATATGAAACTTAGTTATACCTGTCGGTTATACATGCAAGGCTAAAACCATCATGCAAACCCTAAGGTATGGCCTTCATAACAAAAATAATTGAAAGCCTATACAAGAAAGTCAAGGGCATAGTGCAAATGAAGGGAAAAACATTAAAAACTTTTGAAAAGAGCAAGAGCTTTGTTATTTATAATATTAATGGATAGAGTGATAAAAAATACAAGAACAAGAACAAATAAATATCAAACAGAAGTAGATTATAAAAGATGGAATCAACAAAAATAGATAATTTACTATATGCTGACGACATAGTGTTGATAGCAGAGAACCATAAAAAGGCAATTAAGTTGGTTGAAATATGGATAGAAGAAATTGAAAAGATGGGCCTGGAATTGAACATAAAAAATGTAAAATCGTGATAATAAATAAAAAGGAAATAAGAAATTACCCAAAAGAAGATAAATAAAAGAATTATTTATTAAGGAACAAAAGATAGAAGAACTATCACCATATGAGTACTTGGGCAGTATAATATCACAAGATGGAAGGACAGATTTAGACATAAATGCAAGAACAAGGAAAACAAACAACATATTATATCATACTCTAAACAGAACAATTTATGGGAAGAAGGAGATAGATAAAAAGATAAAATTGAAAGTGTACAACTCAGTGGCAGTCCCAGTATTAACATATGCCAGTGAATCATGGACACTCCAAGAAAAAGAAGAAAGATCACAGCAATGGAAATGAAATGTTTACAGAAAATAGTGGGGAAGACGAAATGGGATAGGATAAGGAATGAGGAAATAAGACTGAGAGTGGATCAAGAGGAGATAATCAGCAAAATAGAGAGAAAGCTACTAAACTAGTACGCCGACATAATTAGAATGGAACATAACACAATAGTGAAAAAGGTATTTGAAGCAAAGAATAAGGATAAGAAAAAGAGGGGAAGACCTAGCAAGAAGTGAGAGGATTAGGAGAAGAAGAAGAAGATAAAAAAAAGTATTACTGGTCCCAATTTCTCAGAAGCTTTAGCTTTCCAAATGCGAATATTCATTTCATCTGATCCACTCAACACAAATTTATTATCCAAAGTCCATTGAACGCTTGTTAATCTTTGCATTCGTTTTGTGTGATAAACATCTCTTGAGTGTCCTTTATCAGCCTCGAAAATCCGTATGGTTTTATCATAACTTCCAGTAACAAATTCTTTACCAGTTGGTGAATAATCAACATCAATTACTGCAGAAACATGATCCATATGAATATTTATTGGCTGTTTTAAATTTCTTGTGTCAAAAGTGTATAAACTAAAAATGAAATAAAATTATTTTTATTAAGTATAGGTTAAAAATAAATTAATTACTTATAATCTTCATTAGCACAAGTAAAAATATAAGCCTCCATCGGATTCCAAGCAACTTTATTTGTCCGTAATTTCAAAATAACCTTCCTCATAACCCCACTTTCCCTGGTATCATATAAAATTACACTACGATCACTTGCACAAGCTGATAAAACGTTCGTTTCAACCGGACTAAACGCTACATGATGCAAACTATCAACGCCCCACTTAAATGTTTTAACAGCCTCATTACGGGTTTCCTCCCATAATTGGCAAATTTCCCCACAAGTTGCAAATTTTGCTTCTTTATAATTCCTTGCAATACTCGTCAACACATACTTATTAATAATCGTATTAACAGGCAAGTTTTTATCGTAATCATGGGAAAGATCGGAATTCCAAAATTTAATTGTTTTATCATCACCGATACTTAAAAATAAATCGCCACTACAAGTATAAGTGAGATCACGAATAACACCTTCGTGAGCGACAAAATTACGCAGACAAACTCGTTGAGCTAAATCCCAAATTCTCACTTCACCATCGTAAGCGCCCGAAATTAAAAACGAAAGGCGTTTTGTGTGTTTTGCTAATGAAGAGATTGCGTCTCTGTGTCCGTCTAAACTTCCTATGAATGGTTTTGCGAATACTCGTTCCAATTTAACTGCGTTTAAAGCACGGACGTATTCTCTAGCTGCTTCGAAATGGTGCAAATTTGGATCATAATTTCGAGGGGCTACAAAAAAAAATTTATTATATAAAAAGATGGGTGTATTAATTTACCTTTATGAATATCCTTTTTTGTTTCACGTAAATATTCGTCGGGGTTTCGACTAATTACTTTAACCTTCATTGTTTAATCCACGTTTTAGGAATCTAACCTCAAAATGATGTATGTCAAAATAACATAACCTAAAAATTGAATTTAAAATAAATTGCATGATTAATTAATTAATAAAAGATTGTATATTAATAAAAAATTATTTAAAATTTATTTTTGGTGTAATAATTAGACTAATTTTATTTATTTAAAATAATAATTTTTTTTAGCAAGTACTACCGATTACCGATAGATGGAGCTGTTCGATCTGTCACTGTTCACTGTCAATGAAAATATTGAAAATTCTTAATAAATTAATTCTGTTTTAGTATGGAAAATTGGGTTAATAAGGAAGAGGAGGATACAAAACCTATATTTGAGATCACCGACAACGACTCACTTTCAAATTATAACAATAAAAAATGGTTACCGGAAGTTTTACAAGATGGTTCAAGAAAAAGTGCTTTTCAACCATACAAAAATATCGGTTCAGTATTAACAAATCTCCAAAGGGGGAACGTACCCGCTGAAACACCCATTCCCCAACCGACGGATATAAATTTTCATACACGAGCAGGACAAGGTGAAATCACCCAACAAGACATCGACAGTGAACAATCCGTTGATATTTGCGATTCAAACGGTTTAACAGCCTTACATTGGGCCTCAGCATATGGACAGCTCCCCACAGTACAATTATTACTTAATAATAAAGCTGAAGTAGATAGGAAAGGACCTAAAAGTGAAACCGCGTTGTTATTAGCTGCGGAAGGTGGACATATCGATATAATTAGGTTATTATTAAAAAATGGTGCCTCCGTTAACCACGTTGATGATACAGGATGTTCCGCTTTGATGTATGCGGCAGCTGGGAATCATGCGCATTCATGTAATGAGTTGTTTTTATATGGAGCTGATTTAAATATGACTAATTTTAATAATGAGACTGCATTTAGTTTAGCAGTTGATTATAAAAGTCATTTGGCTCAATCTGTTATTGAAAATTTTATTGTTTCTTTATTAGAAATGTAGAAATACCTTTAAAATGTGATAATGAGAGTTAGGTTATTTTAAAATACAAGAAGGGATAATTAAAAAGACATTTTTAAACTAAAATTTATTAATACGTGAAATAAATAAGTCGATTTTAAAAGATACAAGATTTTTGTATTTAAAACAATTCCAATTCCTTCTTTAAATCCACTTGTATTTATTTATTTTTTTACCGTACATTTTGCAGCTTTATATATATTTTTTAAGTTCTTTTGGGAGGGTTTAGGGGAGACATCGCTTATTATTATCGTTTCATTTTTATTTTAATATGTATTTCGTTGGCGAACAAACATTGGACAAGTATAGGTTTACGCTGTAACTATATTATTGTAAATATTGGGTTAGATTCTTTTTAAAAAATCATTTTGGAATATTCAGCGTGCTTTTAGGGATGTTTTACAAGTAGCTGGAAATTATATTTCAATTTAATTTCAATTTTTAATAGTTGGAGTAATTAATAAGTATTTCACTCCAAATATTTAAAAAATAACCAAGATACAATTAATGACTAGTAGATAAAAAAGAATGAAGAGATAAAAGGGGTTAATAGTTTTTAACATCAACAAATTGTGCAAAAAAAATTCTTTTTGTTGTTAAAAAGACTAGGAATTCTTTTAACAAACAATAGATTAAGTTAAATTAGGTCTATTTATTCATTAAATTAGAGTCTATTCGTTCTCATTTGATGTAAATATCAATCGAGAACAAATAGAGTAGGAAATGATTCTTATAAATCTAAAAGAAACTTTAAACAACAAAGTTTGCAAGCGATTATTTTTACATCTCACGTTATTTATTCACTTTTTAGGGGGAAAAGCTTTTTACCACATCGTTTTTGTTCTCTCTCATTTTTATACATTGTTTTTTTAATATAAAAGTCTTTCTCTTACATCTACCGATAGCGACAACGACATACGCAATAACTTAACCGAAAAAAAATTATCCTTAATAAAAAAAAATCGTGGAATTCTTATTGAAATGTATCACAAATTACACAGCAACTGCGTCTTTTAGACTGTTTCTTATTCCTTATTATCTTTTTTAATTTCTTTAGCATGCACTGAAAAATCTCAATCACTTTTTGTTTTTTGTTTAAAGACACTGTTCCTCGACTAGGTTTTTTTCATTTATATAACTTTAACTTTATTAAACGTTTAAATCCGCCATCATTTTTCGAAAATCGGCCAATGTGTTGTAATCGGGGTCCAAATCGATGTCGGCGAAATCCCGTTTGGAGTCCGATTTTACAAAACTCGGGTTGTAACGGCTTAATGAGAGTGGACAAGGAAGTAATTCGGGCATCACCGAATGATGTGTTATTAATGACGTTAATGTTGCGAATTCTTTTGTAAATCCCTAAAAATAATCAAAACATTAATTTTTATTATAGGATATTTGAAATAAAATATTAAAATGAGTTCAAATATGCAAGAATTGATAAAGTGATGCAAATCACACCAGAAGGAGCGATATCAGACTCAATAGATGAATCGGTAAGTTCAGATAACTTAAAATTTGATAGTACAAGTTTTAAAACTAATTTAGTATCTTTTTAGAGAAGGAGAAGGGAAAAAGGGAAGAGAGAGACCCAGAACGAAGGAGCTGAGCAATCAGGACCACGATTCGGTAGAGGGAAAAGAACATTGAGGAAGCATTTTAATAAACAAGAAATTAAGAATACCCACTTTCAATTTGAACTCATTTGAAATAGTGTTAATCGATATTAGAAATCTTTTAAGAATCCTTACATTTTAATCTAATTACACTAATTTACAAGAAAAATCTCGAAGACTGTGATATTTTTTATAACGTAGATTCTGAAACTGTTTTCAGTTTTTTGTTTTCAGTCCATCACGTCCAGTTTTCGAGATATCCCCAAAAATGTGGAAAATCATAAATTAAAAACAAAGTGTTCTTTTGTAGCTATATGGACATGAAAGTAGAGATTCAGATTCTAACATTTTTGTTTCATACAGCCTAAAACAACTCAACAAAATCAGATTTGTTGGCATTTTTTTTCGATTAATCGCATCGTAACAAAAATAAAGTATACAGTGTGTCCCCGGATAGGTGAAACGACTCTTATAAAAGGTAAAATTTTTTCGATATTAATTGTCATCTTTTGGGGTTTAGCCCTGCTTGATTAACGTCTAATTTTGAACATATTATCAATTATTAAAAAACAAGTGAGCCTTGACAGTGAAAGAAAAACTCTTTTTGTGGCAGGTAAAGTACCTTTTCTGTTTACAGTACGTGAAAGTGTTACTAAGAAGTTTTGTTCAGAATGAAAAACTATGGGCATATGCAAATTTTCGGATTGATCGGCCTACTTTGAAAAAATCCATATCAAACAATTTTATTTCTAACAAAGACTGCCATGGAAAAACAAAATTGCTTTCCTGTCACTGTTAATCTCTCAAACTGTAATTTAGTAAACTTAAAGTGTTTTTTAAACAGAATGTTAACATTACAGGAAAAAGTTTACGTGATTCAGTGTTATGGAACCGGGAAAAAACCGATTATTGCTTTATTTTGTGAAAAATTTCCAAATACTGCAATTAAAAGAAGTACTTGTTGGCGTTTAATCAAAAGATTTCTTACAGCAGGAAGTATTCACTCTAAGAAAAAAAAATTATGATGAAACTGATTAACTATGATCAACTGTTTTCCTTTGTGGGCGAACACACACTTAATTTCTTGTGAACATTTTCAGAACGGTTTGTTTATTTCTCCCTAATAATCTGAATCTCAAAACAAAAAGTCGTAATAAGGTACTATTGACGAAAATAATAAACAATAGGTTTTATCAAAGTAGGCTGATGAAAATTTGCATATGGCCATAACTTTTCATTCTGAATAAAATTTCTTAGTAACATTTTACCATACTGTAAACAGAAAAGGTACTTTACCTGACACACAAGAAGTTTTAGCTTCAGTATCAACACTCACTTGTTTTTTAAAATTTGAAAATATGTTCAAAATTAGTCTTTAATCAAGCAGGCCTGAACCCCAAAAGATGACAGTTAATATCGAAAAAAATTTACATTTTATAAGAGTCGTTTCACCTATCCGGGGACACACTGTATATAAACAAAAAAGTTAGCTATTCTATCCTGCAGAACATTTAATTCTTTAAATATCGAAGCATTAGACATCATGGTCGAACATATTTTACCGGAGATATCGTTAATTTACAAGAATCGTGCAAAATTTCATTTTTTGCCATTTTGAAACTGCATTGTTCAAACATTATTATGAACAATTTTTTTTAATAAAGGGATGTTTTAACTCTTTCAGGCACTAAGTATAAACATTAAATTCACTGAAATTAATATTATTTTTTAAATACAACAAACAATAACATTCTTGGAAAAAATTCACTTCTTTATGTATTTGAACCTTGTACCTTAAACAGTCTTTGAATATTTTTTTAGTATAAAAGGAGAATATATTGTCATAATATTTAGTTCTTCTTGAGAATCCTCAGTGATCTTTCGTTTAAGAAAATAACAAAGTATTGTAAAAGTTTTGTTGATAATGGCTAGCAGCAGTAGAAGTTTTGGATGCAAGAACAGTCCTGATTTGCGGACAATACATTATTACAACTGTTATAAAACAGGCGTATTCTCATTATTTTGGGTTTGCTTTGACGAATTTAGACAAGCCATGGACTTTGAATTGATGGATGGCGGATGCATCTACGAATTTATAGTTTGGTATTCCAATGTTATCGTCACAGATATCAGATTATTCCGACTGCTGTTTCCGTAATATAAACCTAGATAGTATCTAATGTACGATCAGCCAAACAGCCGATTCCGCACAGCGAAACGTTACCAAGACCAAATCCAACTAATGGAATCCAGTGAACATGATCAGAGTAAAGGGAAGAGTGAAGATATGCCATCTAGCAGCGACTATGAACGAAAGAGCAAGGTATTTGTTATTGTAATAACGTGCGGAGACTGTTTGATGAATTCAAAATAGATCAATGACCAAGTGAATAGCGTCTTTTTATCGATAGGTCTAAAAACAGTCTTAAAGCAGCTTTACTTGATAATGGAAACACACTACCAACTATTTCACTTATTCATGCCGTCAATATTAAAGATATATGTGCGCATATCAGAGGTTTTGAGTCTAATTCAGTACAACGCATTTCAATGGAAAGTTTGTGCAGATTAAAAGGTAATTGCCTCAGTAAAGAAATTTACTAACTTCTGCTTTGAAAGTATTGACTTACATTTCTATAATTTTCAGGTAGTTGCTGTGGTTACTGGCTTACAAGGCGGTGTTACAAAATATTGCTGTTTCCTTTGCTTGTGGGATAGCCGAGTGAGAGAGCATCATTATGTGCGCTTTCAATGTCTTAAACAAGCCTCCAATTAATCCAAGTAATATTGCCTCCATTATACATCAACCCGGGTTTAATGAAACTTTGTGAAAACGTTCAATCCAGAAGGCCCAGCATTTAAATATCTTACCGAGCTCTTTACACAACTATCGTATGCTAAACTAAAAGAAGGCATATTTGTTGGCCCTCAAATAACAAAATCAATATTAACAAAAAAAGAAGCAACTGCGTGGATTACGTTCAAACAAACCGTCCATGGATTTTTAGAAAACCATAAAGATGAGAATTGTCGCGAAATGATTTCCAACTTATTACACAATTACTATGTCATAAATGCAAATATGTCGCTCAAAATACATTTTCCCATTTGCAATTAGATTTTTATCCAAGCAATCTTGGAACGGAAAGTGACGAAGAAGGCGAGCGATTCTATCAAGATTTAATGACATTGGAAAGAGTTATCAAGGTTACGCAGGGATGGTGGGAGATTATCTCTGGAGTGTCATCAGAGAAATCGACCAAAAGACATACAAAAAATTGTAAAAAAACTAATCATATCCCGCACTATACTAACAATAAGTAAAGTACTATACCGGGAATTTCATATAACTCACAATATATGAATGCAGTAACCATAGTTACGAAACTACTATGAATTTGCATTGTCCCACATAATATGCAACATAGTACAGGCATTGGGTATTTTTGCAAAGGAAAAGTTTTGCTTGCAGTTTCTGAGCCGTCTTAACCATCTTGAGAGACGTGCGGTTAAATCCGAATGTTTCTGGTTCTCGGTCTAGTTTTAGTTCTAGTTTTGCACTACCACTATCACTAGAACTAACACTAGACCTAGAACTAGAAACATTCGGGATTAGGAGTCTTAGGAGACGTACGGTTAAACCCGAATGCCGTTAGTGTTAGTTCTAGTTTTACACTAGCACTATCACTAGAACTAACACAAGACTTAGATCTAGAATCATAAAAAGGTTGGTATCGTTTGTAAGATCAGCCAAAAAATGAGTTCGCATAGTGAAACTCTACGAAAATCAAATCCTCCTGCCCAATTAAAACAATCCAGTACAGTAAAAAGAAAGTCTAGCGGCGACTGCCAATAAATTTTAATTATTTGATATGCTTAATGTTCAACATTTGGAACAGGTAAAATAAAATTGATTTCAGTGTTCTTCAGGATAGAATAGCTAACTTTTTTGTTCATATACAGGGTTCCCCATAATAGGCTACCCATTTTGAAATTTGAATTAAAATTTTTTTAGTTAACAAAACAAACTTTTTATTATACAAAATTACAGCTAACTTTTTGGGATTTATGATAACTTATAAATATTTGGCTAATTTAATTCTAACTTTTAAAAATCACGTCTTCTAATTGACCTCCACCAACTTCAACACATTTTTCAATATTAGATAAAAAGTGGTTCATTACACGGCGTAGCAAACCTTCGTGTATTCCTTCAACTTCTTCACGAATTTTGACTTTGAGTTCCTCGATTGTACCTGGACGACTCGCAAACACTTTGGCTTTTAAATATCCCCACAGGAAAAAATCGGGTGCCGTTAAGTCGGGGGACCTCGAAGGCCAAGGCAAATCTCCGAATCGAGAAATGAGTCGACCATTAAACATTTCTCGCAGAACCCTCATTGAGTTTCTGGCGGTATGAGCTGTTGCCCCATCTTGTTGGAATAGTAAGGGATTGTTTAGTAATCCTCGTCTATTTAATTCTGGAATGAGGAATGTCTCTAGCATGTTTACGTAGCGCTCGGATGTTACTGTTACAGCGCGGTTATTTTCATCCTCAAAAAAATATGGACCAATAATACCAAAAGATCCTACTCCACACCACACAATAACTTTTGGATTATGGAGGTTCTGTGTAAAGATTTCACGAGGATTTTCATTTGACCAGTATCTAAAATTCTGTTTATTAACCATGCCGTTCAAATAAAAATTTGCTTCGTCGCTCATTAGGAGATTGTGAATTGCTCCTTGATGTAAATCCAAAAATTCTTGACAAAATGCTAACCTTGCTTCTTTATCTTGATTGCTAAGGTGCTGTGCCATTTGGTACTTATAGGGATGAAATTTTAAATCCTTTCGAATAATTCGATCTAAGCTTCCCTTTGATATTCCTAGGATAAGGCTTTGTCGATTAGCAGACCTTTTAGGACTTCTTGTAAACGCAATTCTAACTCGTTCAATATTTTCTGGTGTACGAATTGTTCTTCGACGTCCAGGCTTCTTCAAATCTTGTACAGAACCATTTTCACGCCAATGACGAACCCATAACTTAACAGTTTTACGATTTGGCGTGTGACCCCTATTGTTGTTATTAAACTGACGCCGGAATGCACGCCTAACTTCTTCTATCGAATTGCTTCTAATGTAAGTTTCTACACAAAACACACGTTGTTGGACTGAGTAATCCATGAAAGTTCAAACAGATGTTGAAAAAAAATGACGAAACTAAAAATAATATCGAATATTATCTCGATAATAATAATTAATAATTTAAAACTTATTTGTGACAGGCGACTACTTGATTAATAATTAACTTAAATCCCAAAGACTACAGAAGATATTCCCACAGAGAAAAACTTATTTAGTTATCTCATAGGGAATTTATTAATAAAATAAAATGGGTAGTCTATTATGGGGAACCCTGTATAATTCTTTTTTGTTACGGTGCGATAAAAAAATGGGGGAAACTCCAAAATTGATTTTGTAGAGTTGTTTTAGGCTATAGCAAAATAACGGGGAGTCTAATTTATGCCATCAATACCTCAAAATGTTCGTCTGGATCTCTACTTTCATGTCCATATAACTACAGATGCACACTATGCAAAATAAAAAGTATACTGAACATGAATATTTTTGGGGACATTTCGAGAATTGAAGACAGTTTCTGTATCAGCTCACATTCTATGTTATAAAAAAAATATCGTAGTGTTCAAGGAAAAAATTGATTAAAATTAGTAAACTAGTGTTATCTAATATTTACCTTAATTTTATATCCTCTGTTTGTTCTAACTATTAAATAATGTGCAATTCCTGTCGGTTGAAAACTTCTCGGTACTCGAAGCGATAACGCAAAACAACCAGGTTTGCTGGTGCTTTCTCTAACCATAAAAGCCCCGACTGGTTCCTGCGCTAAAATTTCCAAGGCGATTTCTCTTGGGATTCCAGCTTGAAACCACGGCGCTAATCTTAACTCGCCTTCTTCTTTGTTATTCAAAGAATCGGTTCGTTCGGGTAACGGCGGAGGCGTTGGCATAAACGACAAAATGCCACCGCCGCCGCCACCGCCATCGGTAGTTTGTGCACAACTACTCGAACTACTCGAAGAAATCTGCGATATCCTTTTATTTTTAAATTCTTGGTCTACTTGTAACGATGGTGAGCTATGAAGTGGTGACGAATTTTGTAATAATTTTGTTGTTTCGATTTCGATATGTTTCGGCGATAAATCGGTTTTTAAATTTTCACTTTTATTTTCGCCGTTTGTGTTATTCGTTTCGTTAACGTAACCGCCACTTAGCGGCCGATTTGTTGGACTACTCGGCGTACTGCTTAATGAATCATTAACTAACGGACAACTATCGTCATCTTGATTTTGATGGTAATGATTTCCGGTTAATCCCATCGCTAATCGCTTTATTAACGGCGGCTTTTCCGCCATTCTTTTATAAGAGTTCATTTCTGTTGGGGAATTACTTTCATCGCTACTCGGGGTGCTTTGTTGAGATTGATTCTTTTCGGTTGTTGTTGAGTTTTGGCAAAGAACGTTAAATTTATGATTCGATTTTAATCCCGGGATTGAATTCGGCGGGGCTAATCTAATCGCGGTTGAATCCGCGTTGTTTAATTGGACGTCCATTTCGGCTGTTGATGCGTTGTTTAATATTGTTGTTGAGGGTTGTTTTTCCGAGGATGGTTTAAGTGTTAATTCTTTAGCCCAAAGAACTTTATCTTGTTTGGTTTGGTCTAATTGCGATACTATTACGTCTTGGAGCGTGGGTTGTTTTTGTAATTGAGCTGCGTACGCCATACGGAAAGCATTACCTACTATCGAATTTAATTCTTCAGCCTAAAACAAAAAAAAGGGAATAATTAGTTATTTGGTAAAAATTAAAGGGAATTCTCTTAACTAATTACGTAATAGAATCAGAATAACAAAGGAGATACCGAGCGATCTGGTTTTGGAATGGAACGCCGTCAACCGCGTGGAAAGCGAAATGCGGGCCTGGAATGCCAGGGAATGCAGGTCCGGCTCTCGGCACCCCGATTCCGCTCGAAATTTTTCCTTCCTCGCATGATTTTAATATCGGCATTCCACGGGGACCTCCGGGTGGCGTGGTCCGGCCGCATTCCCCGACCACTTCTGGGAAGAAGAGTGGTTGGAAAGCCGCGACCGTCCACTCTCGTCATACTCTGTAGTGTTTGTCTGCCGGAAAACAGGACCGTACTTACCCACCCTATATTGCGACCGAATATATCGAAAAGGATCGTAAGGACTTCTGAAGGACACTCGACGTTGTTTTTAGAAAAAGAACATGGGTAATTTTCGTTGGAAAATTCTTATTTTTTTTAATTAAAACTTTAAATCATAGTTTATATGATTTTAATAGAAAACATTTCCTCCACGTGTCTTAGAAACTCCCCTTTGATTGTCTTGTCCTAGTTTCGATGTCCCATGTGTGCCATCTCTTGTAATTTTTCATCTGCCCACCACTCGACGAGTTTCCCTCTCGAACTAGACTCATCTATCAGACGTAATCGAAGGTCCTCTCCGGTCTTTCCACTTGACAAATAGCTCCTGTATCCGACGTAGTCGTCGTCATCCCCTTACACACCCAAAAACCGTTTCTTTCACCCCCAAAAACAAGAATATCCTTCCACATCTTTTGCTCCACATCGGAAATCTCGAGTATTTACAATCCAACTTACATCACTCGATTTATATTCGACTAAGTAATATGTACCCTCGACATCTCTCTAAATTCAGAATCACGTGTTACACCGCAACTGTGATTGATTAAGAGGTGGCGGTGGCGGAAGGAAAGGAGGAGGAAGAGAAACAGGCGTGTTACGCACACCCCTTTCGGCGGGATGGTTGGTTAGAAAAAGCAATCCACCATGAGGAGACGCGATGCATCTGAGAGTGACACGTAATTAATTTGCTTTAATGCAAAATCCGTGGTAGACGAAGAAACAACTCTCCCGACAAGGAGAAGACAAAGAAACGAGACGGAGAAAAGATGTCTACAGCGGCGAGGTGAATGAGTTATGTCCCTTCGATGTCTTTTATGCCGACGTCTTTTGGAGACCAACCTCCTCCAGTGTATGTATTATCCAGACTTGAAATTCACTCGGTACTCCGATTCACTTCTTCCGCTGACAGCCCAACAATGAAGATATACGATCCACTACCTGCATCTCTAACGTTATCCTTTGGGATAACATAATCCCCGGTGAGTTAAAGAGATACTTTTATGTATGTCTATATTTTTATCTTTTGATTTAAAATAAACATTGGTCAACAAAGATGAAAAATAAGAAAATTAATGAAAAATTTATTACAAATAGTTAAGTATAATAGGTTTATGTCTCGCATTGATAAGGCATTTACATCTATTACTTATAAAGGTCGCTTACGGCCGAGGCGCTACATTTGATACAAAAGTGATATAATGTTAATCAAGATATATCGCATTGTTGTAACGAATATATGCTTTTGTATGATTAAACCGACCATAGTTTCTTCATTCTAGCTAACCCCAGGTCATGTGGGAGCGAGATACGCTGCAATATATCATTGTTAATATTGTGATGTTGTTATATTAACTGTAATGCCTCGACCGCAAGCGGCCACGGCTTAGGTTCGAATGAGTAAAGTATATTTTTGCATAATTAAGTCGAAGCGTTGCAATATGTCTTGGCGAATATTGTAGTATTGTTGCATCAATTATAGCACCTCGGCTTAGGTTCGAACCAAGAAAATATGCATTTGTATGAGTAAGCTGACTATAGTTTCTTCATTTTGGCTAATCCAAGGTCATGTGGGATCGATACGCTGCAATATATCATTGTTACCATTGTAATGTGATATAAACTATATTGCCTCGGCCGCAAACGAGCTCGGCTTAGATTTGAATGAGTAAAGTATATTTTTTCATAATTAAGTCGAAGCTTTGCAATATGTCTTGGCGAATATTGTAGTATTGTTGCATCAATTATAGCATCTCGGCTTAGGTTCGAACCAAGTAAATATGCATTTGTATGAGTAAGCTGACTATAGTTTCTTCATTTTGGCTAATCCAAGGTCATGTGGGATCGATACGCTGCAATATATCATTGTTACCATTGTAATGTGATATAAACTATATTGCCTCGGCCGCAAACGAGCTCGGCTTAGATTTGAATGAGTAAAGTATATTTTTTCATAATTAAGTCGAAGCTTTGCAATATGTCTTGGCGAATATTGTAGTATTGTTGCATCAATTATAGCATCTCGGCTTAGGTTCGAACCAAGTAAATATGCATTTGTATGAGTAAGCTGACTATAGTTTCTTCATTTTGGCTAATCCAAGGTCATGTGGGATCGATACGCTGCAATATATCATTGTTACCATTGTAATGTGATATAAACTATATTGCCTCGGCCGCAAACGAGCTCGGCTTAGATTTGAATGAGTAAAGTATATTTTTTCATAATTAAGTCGAAGCTTTGCAATATGTCTTGGCGAATATTGTAGTATTGTTGCATCAATTATAGCATCTCGGCTTAGGTTCGAACCAAGTAAATATGCATTTGTATGAGTAAGCTGACTATAGTTTCTTCATTTTGGCTAATCCAAGGTCATGTGGGATCGATACGCTGCAATATATCATTGTTACCATTGTAATGTGATATAAACTATATTGCCTCGGCCGCAAACGAGCTCGGCTTAGATTTGAACGAGTAAAGTATATTTTTGCATACTTAAGCCGAAGCGTTGCAATATGTCTTGGCTAATATTGTAATATTGTCAGCCGCAAGCCCTTTCTGCTAGAGTGTCACTATAAAATCATGACGGACGGTTTGTCGCATTACTCGATTATCTCCGTAGATGGAAATAAGTCTCGTTTCTTTTTATTGGTAATATTCCAGTCTCGGTTTTTAATATTCTTCAACCACATAATGCTTTAAGCAAGTATAAAGGGCAACGCGTACACTTTTCGGTTATATTGCTTGCGTTATGAAATTACATTATGTGTTGTTTACAGCACTAATTTTTATTGTCAGTGTTATGTATTTTTATTTTTTACTTTTAAATGTTAATGTAATTTTCAATTTCATGCTATGTAGTAACATGAGAATGTGCAACACCAATATCGTAATGGTACTTGGATTGTAATGAAACAATTTTGTTATAGCTGTAAAGCTTTTCTTTGGTCAATGTTTCAGGACAACCTTTTTGATGAAGACTAAGAAACTGAATTGAACACGTTATTGGTCCATGCATTATTATCAACGGAAATCTTACTGGAGACTTAGATTTATTACAAACTCAAATTATTCCAGCTCTTAGGAAATAAATTCTATTTACTAATAATGAAGACGTTGAAGAAAGTATGGTTCCAGATGATCACCAAATGTTACTCAAGTAAACATTGCCGAATTGCAGTCAAGGCGATATGCGTATCCAACTCTGTTGAAGTTCATAATATATCGGGAATTTTATATAACTCGCAATATACAGGTGGGTTTTTTTCCATGTTTAGTATGTATTTCTATGTTTAGATCTCGAAAACTAGCGGAGATAGAGAGACGATTAAATAGGGAAAGAATTGCAGTTTCATGAACTCAATTTAATGAGCTTTTTGTTTTTTGGATGAAATGCATGGCTAACTAGATATATCGAAAAAACCGTTTTTTTGCTATATCGTATGGCTCCGCTATTATTGATTTTAGGAAAAATGTGTAAAGGAAAAATTTGTAGGGTATTACATGTTGCAGTCTAACTGATTTTTTTATTTAAGCAATAATTTTTGAGTTATGACACAATCTTGTAATTTTTCTAATGGAAACCATAGTTGGACTTTATCAAAAGGGCCTTTTCTCAACGATTCTAATGATATACCACTTGATATGGATATTTTTATTAATAAATAAATTATAGCCATTTATTCTTTTAATTTGCAAACTGTTCAGGTAGTATGCTATGGAAACAATTGATAGATACGTTTGTAAACGTAAGTTTCCACGATTTCGTACCGCTAGCTTATTAAGTGGTGGTATCCCATCGTGTTGAAACCATTTAAGCAAATGGCGTGTCTGCAGGAGCAATTCATACAACACATTATCGAACTCGTTCTGTAGAAAGTGAAGATAACGATCTCCGTTTAACGTATCATAAAAAATGTACGGACCAAGAATTCTTGAACAAAGGACACCGCACCAAACATTAAATCCAAACTTAACTTGAGGTCTCCTCTCTTGAACATGCCGCAGTTTGTAAATTGTGTTTCATCTGTCCACAAAACTTTAATCTAAGCTATGATCAGCTTCACACATAATAATAAACCACGTACAATATTCTACACGCTGATTGTAGTCATGATGTTATGAATGAAATCTATGCTTTTTTAGTTCTCTTACGACAGTACGTTGTGACGTGCCTGCTTCAGATGCAACTTGTGTGTACTTCTGTGTTGCATCTTTAGTTGGTTTACAGAAAGAACCATATCCGCCTAAATTATCAGCGTCTTCAAAGTAGGTAGAGATGGTTGGCGACGATCAAAATACTGTTCTGCAGCTTGTATTGCATTTTTATAGCATAAAAATCAATGATATCACGCTTTTATTGATTAGAAAAATTCATATTGATTATAATTTACAAAACCTTAATCAACGTTAATTAGAAACTAAACAAAACATACGTTTGCCTTAAGTTGTCATAGCCAAATGTCTATCAATTGTTTCCATAGCATACTACCTGAACAGTTTTCCAATTGAAAGAATAAATGGCTATAACTTATTTATTAATAAAAATATCTATGTCAAGTGGTATATCATTAGAATAGTTGAGAAAANGTCTCCCTCCACTCTGCGCCATCTGTTTGTTCTCTTTTTAGCCTGTTTAGGCCCACTTTTACCACCTCTTGATATATTTATCCGATAGATAATTACCATGGTTACAGCGGTTTTAAGCGCTCTCATTGGCTAAGGCTCGTTACTACCATCTTCTGGTTAAGCTATCTAAGGGATTATTACCATGGAAACGGCTATTTTACGCGCTCTGATTGGCTAGTAGATGGGTTTATCTATAAGATAAATTTAACTATAAGATGGTAGTAATGAACCTAAGTGGTGGTTTCGTGTTGAAACCATTTAAGCAAATGGCGTGTCTGCAGGAGCGAGTCATACAATATATTATCGAACTCGTTCTGTAGAAAGTGAAGATAACGATCTCATAAAAATGTATCTCATAAAATGTATCATAAAAAATGTACGGACCAAGAATTCTCGAACAAAGGACACCGCACCAAATATTAAATCCAAACTTAACTTGAGGTCTCCTCTCTTAAACATAGTGCGGATTTTCCTGCTAAATTGTGTTTCATCTGTCCACAAAACTTTAATCTAAGCTATGATCAGCTTCACACATAATAATAAACCACGTACAATATTCTACACGTTGATTGTAGTCATCTGGGGGTAGTGTTTGTGAAACTCCCATTTTATATGAATGAAATCTATGCTTTTTTAGTTCTCTTACGACAGTACGTTGTGACGTGCTTGCTTCAGATGCAACTTGTGTGTACTTCTGTGTTGCATCTTTAGTTGGTTTACAGAAAGAACCATATCCGCCCAAATTATCAGCCTCTTCAAAGTAGGTAGAGATGGTTGGCGACGATCAAAATACTGTTCTGCAGTATGTTCTGCAATTCATATTGATTATAATTTACAAAACCTCAATCAACGTTAATTAGAAACTAAACGAAACATACGTTTGCCTTAAGTTGTCATAGCCAAATGTCTATCAATTGTTTCCATAGCATACTACCTGAACAGTTTTCCAATTGAAAGAATAAATGGCTATAACTTATTTATTAATAAAAATATCTATGTCAAGTGGTATATCATTAGAATAGTTGAGAAAAGGCCTTTTTTATAAAGTCATGGCCAACTATAGAAGATCGATACGCTGCAATATATCATTGTTACCATTGTAATGTGATATAAACTATATTGCCTCGGCCGCAAACGAGCTCGGCTTAGATTTGAATGAGTAAAGTATATTTTTTCATAATTANGCTATAACTTATTTATTAATAAAAATATCTATGTCAAGTGGTATATCATTAGAATAGTTGAGAAAAGGCCTTTTTTATAAAGTCATGGCCAACTATAGAAAAATTACAAGTTTGTGTCATAACTCAAAAATTACTGCTTAAATAAAAAAATCAGTTAGACCGCTTTATTAAACATGTAATACCCTACAAATGTTTCCTTTACACATTTTTCTTAAAATCAATAATAGCAGAGCCACAGGTATCTAACGATAGAACAAAAAAACGTTTTTTTCGAGATATCTAGTTAGCCATGCATTTCATCCAAAAAACAAAAAGCTCATTAAATTGAGTTCATGAAACTGTAATTCTTTCCCTATTTAATCGTCTTTCTATCTCCGCTAGGTTTCAAGATTTCTATACTAAATATGGAAAAAAACTCA